CCATGTCCAACAGATTATGTAGGAAGTACTGACTGTATCTCATGTCGTGGAAAGCGCCAGCAAGTCAGAATGAAACAGAATGCTCAGGAGAAGCTGAAGCAGGAGATGGTAAAGGCAACATCATGAGCTACGAAATGCTCCGTTCTAGCTGGGGGTGCAGCAGCTCTCTTTGGTCTACACTGTCCTCACAGCTGCTTGGATCGTTGACAGGTGCTTGCATCCGAGCTAAGAAGCGGTCTCGACGATGAGCGTGAAGCTAAGGCCCCTTTCAGCATCGTCTTGAGTTGTGTAAAGTGGTTTCCTCTCATTTTTCAGAAGCTGTCAGTCGTTGGTTCTCATTCATGGTGCCTCAAGCTCAGTCGGTTGCGGAAACTTTGCAAGGTTGCCATTGAAACATCATCCTAAGGTTGCAAGCAGTGCTGAAGATTTACCTCCAGTCGTGTTGAACACAGACCGAGCCACTCCCATTCCGCTACTGGGCTAACAGCCAAGCACTTTTGCAACAGCATGTCTGATCTATGCGGTAAGGGCAGCACTTCTTCGCGTACCCAGCGGGTGGGGAGCTGGTCCGTGAGCCTATGATGAGCACACCTTTTCCTGCCTGCTAGGGAGACCAGAGACGACACGAATTCGGAACCGAGTCCACGAAAAGTTCGCCTGGCTCTTAAGCCTTCAGAAACTTCGTTTGGAGCTGTAGCTGCTCGATCTGCTCGCAGCTACTCGCGCGTTTGGTTTGTGAACAATGCACACGCAGTCTCCTGCCATTTCCTGACATCTCCTGACTTCTGTTTGGCAACCTTCTCTGTCGGCAAAGGTTTGCTTCACGCACAACTCCAGAGCTTCGTTTTTTTTTTTTTTTTTGGTGCATTTTTTTGTTTGTTTTGCATTTATGCTGCCAGCTGCATAAGTGGGTTGCAGTCAGAATCGCGCAAAGCGAAGTGAAATCGCAATCTAGCCTGCAGTCACGAAACAACAAGTGGACATGAGCTGTCCAAGTGTTTGCCCTCGACAGTGGATAGCTTTGAACGAAACGGAGGTCCAGGCTGATAATATTTCTGGAAAACAAGCTACACCCTTCCTTCAGACTGCCCCGGGGGGACCGAGCCTCTTTTTCAGTCCAGCACTTCCCCTACCCGTAACTAGCCGCAAGTGCCCGATGTTCAGGGTTGAAGACGACAAGCTAATCTGGAGCAATCTTGTATCAGAATTCTTGAGATGCATTCATTCTTGTGCTCCAGAATCAAGGCTCGCTGGCAGATCCCACCTCGTCTCCCTCCAGTCCTTCGCCGCGTGGAGTACCAACCTGCAAAGTTTACCGAAAACACGCGTGATTCGTGTTGTAGCCAAAGCATCAAGCTGTCTACGATCTTCGGGCAGTAGGGCCTAGAGTTGGCTGTAAAGCTGAGGTATCCCGGTGCTCAGTGGATTTTAGGGCTTTACGTGACTGCCTTTTTGGAGGGTGCCCAATTTGGGGGCCCATTGGTTTGGGTTTCAGTTCTTGAAGTAAAGCGTTACAAGTTGTGATATTCATTCCGTATAGAACAAGATGATCGTTCATTTGAAAGCAAAGCTAGCAAGTGGTGCCTAAAAACTAAATCCTTTTCAAGCTCAACAGCTGTTCAAAAGCTGGCAGCAAGATGCCAGCAAAGATTTTCAGCTTCTTGGTAGCTTACTACAAGCCCTGTGACTTGCTTTTCTCAATTTTTGTTCAACCTTTGTCTACTTCAGTTTTTCTCCCAGGCCAATGACTTTCTTTTGTGATTGTTCAGCTTTCTTTTTTGTTCTGCAGCAGAATTCTCGAGAGAATCTAGTTTGCGGCCATAGGCCTGTCTCCCCAGGCACATCTTGGTGGTTCAGAAGCTTAAGCAGAAAGGCTGGACAACAAGGTCATCAATCCACCCAAAAAGCTGAAACATATCGGTAACTTTCCTTTTGTTTGTCTCAGCATTGTTGCGCTGTACCAGGGTCTTGCTCAATTTTTTTGGACAACTTTCTGAGAAGTTTTATTTCCATTTATTCTAAGTTGATGAACCTAGGAGGATCTCTAAGACAATTTGTCCATAAGTTTGGGAGTTTTTACGCTGGCTGGGTCCAGCTGTTTCTAGGTGTAAAAGGATTAAGAGGTTTCAAAGGTTTGCTTTCGGGTCTGTGGCCACGTGTTGCAGAGTTTAGGTTTTCTGGCTTCTGGCCGTTTCGGCTTCAAGGTTCAGGCTTACAGAGTTGATTTGGGTACTAAAGGACATTCATTCTCGTGAACGGGACAGGCAGCTGTCAAACGAAGGCCTTGGGGAAGTGTCCGCCGCAGAATTTTGAGTTGCACTTGGGAACAAGGGGCATAGAGCTGCGGTGCACATGCCGTACAGTTCTGGCAGATTGAGTCAGGTTATTCGTCTTGCAGCCCAGATGTTTGTGTTGGCCCTTTCCTGGCATATTTCTCATCAAATTCTGCTCGGCACGGTGGCGTGCCAGGCCAAGACTCTGGCAAGCTTGTCTTCTGCAGGCTTTCGCTGTTCTGGCTTGCAATCTGGTAGTCAAATGTGTCAAATGGGCCATTCCGACATGGAAGGCACCAAAGCATCGAGAAGCTCACATCAAGTACTGCTTTCGACGAGGAGGCGAGATTTTGGAGACCGCCCATCCAAGTCTTGGGTGGAACTGATCAAGCTTGTTCAAGCTTAGACATGCTCAGACTCTCTAAAGCTTACCGCTGACAGGATTGATCCTGCAACCGGGCTCATTGAATCGGTTGAGGAGACAGAGGCGTTACATGCTGAGCCAGTGTACTCATTTGAAAGTGCTGTAGGACATTCCATAAGATCATAAAGGGCTTGTGGCTGTAGGTATGTCTTTTGCAACGATACATTGTGCCGCCAGATTATCGGCTTGGCTCTCAGTTTCAAGAAACTCTGGTAGATGCCCAGGACCACTTTGAAAATGGCAAGGTGGAAGCTTCGCTGGGACATTTTAGTCGGAATTCTCATCATTTACAGGTGGGATATGCTTTTGCAACTTCCAGCCAAACTGCAGGGTTCGCACCTTGCCTTTTGTTGGACCAGCATAAGACTGCTTGGCAGCGTCTGCAATCTGCAATGCTTCCTGCTCCAGACACAGGACTACACCACAAGTAGTACCTTCCAGGCACACATCAGAACAGCCACAAATAGTCAGCGAGAAGAGCAGGCATACTTGAGACTAGTGACTAGAAGTGACTAGTGGGGAGCTTTCTGACTTCAGGCCTAGAGGCCCGAGTAAATCCTGGGCCAAGTGGCCCAACCTATCAACGTCCGCGCGAAGCAGAGCAGCTTCCGAAGATGGCCGATTATGAAAGCATCAAAGAATGGGCCACTTGGACGAGCTTGGATTTTTCATGTATATTTCATATTCTCATCATATGATAGGCTGCGCTACAGGTCGCAAACCTAAAGTGGTGCCTTGAGATTCTGAAGTCCTTCATCTCCTCTGGTGAAATCTTGAGAATCTGTTGCCGATGGCAAGGTTTTTGTTACAGGCATAGGTGCATGCTGGGTTACTCCAGTTTAAAGTTCTGGTTCTTGTCGCCCCCAAAATTTGCTGTGACCATTTGCTAGGTGGAGGGTTTCGACGAGACGGGCAAGCCCCTGGAAAGGATCACAAAGTCTGATCATCTGCAGGATTTCCAAGTTTCTGCCAAGCAACCAACGGTGATCAGTGGCTCATGTTTGGTTTGGCAGCCTCCGGTCTCTGTGCAGGACTTGCAGAGAAAGATGAAGAAAGAGGAGGCCCCTCGCAATTCACGTCTTGGCTCGGTACATCCTTCAAAGCTTACCCTAGCTTACTCGGCATGTATTAAGGCTCTTCAGCTCCTGATGCTGCCTGCAGGTGGAGCTGAGCAAGCTACTTCAGAAGGACATCTTGTTTGTCTGGGTCACAATCACGGGAGGTCATCACTCCCAACAAGCAGTGTTGATGAAGAACTTCTACATCTAGCACTTTTTTGCACATCATTGCAAAGCCGGTTGTGACTACATGGATAAACAAACTGCAGCATCTCAGGAGGAACTGGAGATGCTTGAGCTGCAGAACAAGCTCAAAGACTGTGCGACTCTCATGAGGTTTTGGGTCTGGGATCCACAGACTGCGATGCAACTAATGGGGCCTTGCGTGTATTTGAGTTCAGCAACAGGACAGGGAATGAGAGTTGTACAATTCAGGGATGCCCGAATATTCGCTAATCAGGGACTCAAAGGTTTTATAGTTCATAGTACAGCAGAAATGCTGGTGCCAGAGATAATCTCCGCAGGCATTCAGAAAATGTTGTCTTCCAAATGCATGCATGCTAGAACATGGAGTAGAACAATGCTTTGCATAGCTGGTATGTTGTCGCATATGCTAGGCCACGAGGCATAGGTTGTTCTATTGCTGTCTGTAGATCAGTGTGACGGACTGCTCTGTGTGCTTCCTGCTCTTGCTGCTGCTTCCTGGATGTTCTTCACATCATCTTGTATCAGTGCACCCGCAAGACCTTCAGGTTGCAGTTTAAGACAAGCAAAGTTACCAGCAATGGCCATAGTATTCATCTTATGGAGTCATGGAGAAGACGATTATGCATGGATTTAGAGCCATCTCAGCTGCTTGCGAGAAGAGTGCTGACCAGCTGTCATTGTCAAGGTGTGCTTTCACGTTTTGAAGGGATGTAGCGAAGTGATCACGTGTGCGAATCATCCTGCTATGTGTCAGTTGTGGGACTGTTGCTAGCTTGCATAACTTCCGGCCGGATCGGTTTCAAAGGTAATACGAGCAAGTTTTTGAGCGAGGCTGTCTTCACTAAGAGAGCCGGTTGCATTTTGCAGTTCGATGGGGGAACAGCTTGCACAAAGCCCCGCACCACTTGCAAGAACGCACCCAGGCAATGATGAATTCTCGCAAGAGAAGCAGCAGCTGGAGGAGCTGAGGCCAGGCCACCTGTTTTGAGTTTGCAAACAAGCTGTGAGACTTTCCTCTGCAATCAAGGTCCCAGCAGCGAGTGACGCTGGACACGGACCAAAAGATAAGAATTCAAAGCGTGTGGAATTCAGCACGTTACCATGCTCCATGCGATCTTTCACAGCTCTTCTGTGTGTAGCAGTTGCTGAGGTCACGCGAGAAACCATCGACCGTTTCTTGCGTAGAAGGCCAAAGAATGAGGCAACCATGCTTGAACTAGCCAATCTGGTGCAAGTGTACAGTGCAAACGGAGCAGTGTAAGTTTCATGGCCATGCTGCTTACATGCTGCTTTGCCCCTTCTCCCCTCCTTTGTCATCGTCACATGCACAGGATGAGCAGATGATGGTTGACGTGCACTTTCTCACTGGCACTGAAACGACTGGCTTCAATCTTCACATCAATGGCGAGGGAGCAGGCTTAGCTGCTTAGCTGCCTTCGTGTTGAAATTGGGGTTCCTGCTGCACATTTGCCAGGCTCTAGAGATGCAAAGTTCCTCATTCGCCTAAACGAGAAGGCTGCGGCAAGCAAATGTATTCGCTCAAAGGGTAAAACTCCATGCACGCAGGTTGAAAGCCTTGGCAGACAAGCTGCCAAGTACTGGGGTACTTGGACTACAAGACTGCGAGAAGCTGCGTATAGCGGAATGACAGATTCGCTGCATGTCGAGGCCTTGACCCTGACAAAGTTTTCTTCCTTGATGGAGACGGGCGCATCGTGCATGGCTCCCGGGTGTTCTGGGTCTTTTCTTCTTGAGGACAGCACTTGGCAGCTGAGGCTTGACAACATGGACCTCGTCGACATTATCCTTCCACCAGTCCACGGGCTGAACTCATAAACGATGTGCCATTCGTTTGCTGAAGTTGGCCAAGGTACCAGCATCTCAATCCACGACCAACTTGAAGAACAGCTTCGTTTCTGTTCCTTCTTTCTGCCTCATGGCTTCATGTGTGTTGGGTCGACAGCACGCCAAGAGTCCCAGAGGAGTTCGGCCAGTTCAAGCTCGGTGGCTGTGGTTTTGTCCTCAGAAACTTTCAGAAACCGTTGGCATGCCTTGGCTCCTTTTTGTCTGGTTGAGGCTGACGACACGCAAGGGAAAGAAGGCACCACCTGATCATGTGCTCCAAGAGCTTGTTCATGTTGAAAGCAGGCGAAGCCTCTCGTGAACGAGACTTCTGGATGGTCAAAGGCCTCAGAGCACTGGACATGTTGCGATAGATGGCCCGCCTGACGCGGGACGGGCAGGAGATGTGTAAAGCAAACGCACGAAGATCATGAAGAGTGGGATAGGAGCCTTCTCCATCTTCTGCGGATAAGATTCATTTTTAGCCATTTGCGGCTTTGATTTTTGGGGGTTGCCCATTCTAGCTTGATTGCGCAAGGCTTCCTGTCCGCGTTCCTTTCCTTCCAGCTGACTTGTAGATTTCACATGCTAAGCAGTGTGATGTATCATGATTCAAATAGACAATTCAGCAATCGCTCAGTAGAAATTTGGCAAAGGTGTGGGGGTCGCAGGGCGGGTGGGTGCTCGCGCTGGGTATGGATGAACGTGACGGCCCGACAAGCGTAACCATTCCAGTTGGCAAACAACAAATCACATACACGTACATATCTTGCAGCCACAGCACGAATGGTCAAACTTAAGCTTGAGTGGGTACGGTGACGTGGCCTAGGCCAGCCCTTGCTTTGTAGATTTATCCAAAGAGCACAGACAACCAAAGCTCTTGACTGCACGCAAGAAGTGCGAAGAAGGAGACTTGGAACGCGTTTCACGTCCAAACGCCAGCCCACAAGTTTGCACATCCTCCTACTGGTAGAAGCTTGACAAACCCTGCGGCATTGCATTCTACACGAGAGAAACTCTATGTTCAGACTTACACCATCAGCGCCGTCATGTGTAACCTGGATCTGAGGTCCTGTGAAGCCATGCAGGCTTGCACATGCCCTGCACGTAAAGCCTACTTTTTCGTGGGTCTCAGACATCCAAGAATCTCTCCATGTATTTGCATCAGTGCTCCGTAAAGGGGTTGCCGACACTGAAAGCTCGGCCTATTCAGTTCATCAATCTCAAAGTATGTCTTTGATGACTTTATTAAATGGCCAAATTCTCGGTATGCCGGTTGCAATCTTTGCATAGGATGTCGAATCATTCGCAGGAGGTTCATTTGCGCATGCTCACGGGACTTTTGGTGAAGCTCAGAATCAGCCCTCAACAAGCATCTCTCCTTCTCAGCAGACCGCCTACCTAGACAGCGCCTGTCCTTCTTAGATAAATTTGCTTTGACAAAATCATGCAATTGCTTGCAAGCACTCCGAGATTTTGTGGCCAGAGAGCCTCAACCTTAGTATAGGAACTACAAGTTCCCATGTCAGAATGTTTAGTGCCATTTCAAGGTTGTTTGGGGCCTGGCATTATAGCCATCACCTGTGGCAGAAGCACCAGGGCCAAGCAAACGGAAAGGAGACAGTTTGGACGACATTCTAGTCTACCCCAGCCTCAAGGTAACCAGTCTTGACGAATGCATGAGAATGCAGCGGACGGTGGAGCTTTACAATGCTGGCTTTTCAACATGCAGTTCATGAACGACTTCTCACGTAGCCGGCTGCATACATGGTGTCGGGTTCCATGCTGCTCCCCGCACTGCTTGGTGAGTTGTGGAGGTCGCAATTACTGTTTGACTCTCGTCCGCCATGGCCCGAGAGTTTGCAACAGCCAACTGGATAGATCCAGCATATTATCACGCTCAAGCAGGTGCCAGCACAGTGCTGAGCAAAGAGGACTTGAACAGGCACTTTAAGAACAATCAGACAACAGATTATTGCTTAGACTGAACACTTGCTGAAAGGCCGAAGGGTGAGAAGTGGGAGGACTTCCCCTCAGCATGAAGTTTTCACCGCGCTATACAAAACTGCTGTGAGTGGATGTTCTTCGTTGACTGGCAAGGATTTCACATTCAACGAACGCCAGCTGGAGAAGGCAGCCTTTGCATCGGCTGCGAGAATTGTGCCAAGTGGGTGTCGCAACTTTGTCCTCTGCTTCCCGTCATACGAGCACATGTATGTATTTCAAATGATCGCTGCCAGACTGGTGCCTTTTGGCAGGAGTTGGAGAATGCTAGAAAAAAGCGTGGGGGCGATGACTCCGAGGTTCCAGGGTTGTGCTGTCCTGTTCTTTCCTTCCCTGGTTTGCATCAGGCTGCCAAAGTCAACATGGATGTTATACCGTCTTTGAATGACCTTATGCAGCAGGGTCAGGACTTGAATCGGCTACACATGCTCCATGGATCTGGAAGGGTTGTCCAGCAGCTTCTGAAGGAGAAAAAACGGAAAAAAAGGGCAGATGCTCGGCCGAGTGCTCTGCTTTCTGATGCGTGGTCATGACATATGATCTTGACTTCAGACGGAGCCTGCAGGTGCCGGCTTTTGGAGTTCAGTGTCTTCCTCTTGTGCCAGGCCTGGACAGCAAACGGCGGCTGCTGCTACTACTACGTCTTCTACTTCTACTAGTAGTAGTAGTAGTAGTAGTAGTAGTAGTAGGACGCGCCCTGGGCGTTTGCCCGGACGCGATTCGGTCACGTGTGCGAATAACCCACGTTTTACAGTGTTTGGAGGTTTTCCAAGGTGCATAGTCGGGGCATAACAATTTCTCATTTTTTACGTTGGTTTTGCCACATGCGATTTGCTTGTCATATCAGGCCGCAAAATCGGCATGTTCGTTTTCACCACTGGGCGCAGTGTTGCGTGCTCTTCGGAGCACATTGCGTATGCACGGAATACGCGATTATTCATTCCCGGAATGGATGGCCCAAATTTAGGGTTTCGTGGTTTTTTGGTCTGAGGTATCCTGAATGTGTAACGATTCACGGGAAGTAGAAACCGCGTATTCTCGAAGCTTGTCGCTTGTTTTCAGCAGTCTGCGCAGTGGTTCCTGCTGCCCGGCTTTGTGTGTGGTTAGTCGTTTTGAACGAACGCACGAATTTCTGCTTCCCGTCCAGGATGGCCGCATTTTGTGAACAGGGTTTGGGCATGGATCCTTTGGTAAACGCATGCTTTAGGCACACGAAGGTCATTATGGTTTTGGCATGGATGCTCTGGTAACCGCATGCTTTAGGAACACGAAGGT